CGCTTTTCGTTATTATCGCAGCCAAGGGCATTGAGAATGGCATCACTACTGATGAGCCTATTGATTATGATCTCTTCAACGGTGATGCTCTCACATGGGCCGTCTCCTTTGGTAACGCCATTCTCTCCTATCAAATGGCCAGTGCTACGCCCACCCTCATTCGTGAGATGATCACACCTGCGGCTTTCCCTAAGGCAGCCTCTGCTGGTCTCCTTATAGTCTTCGTCATCTACGTTGGTGTCGGTGCCTGTGGCTACTACGGCTATGGCAGGAGCCTCATTGAAGTTCCTATAATGAACAGCATCGCTCCGCCTGGCCAGCCGCTTGATGTATGGGGGTACATTGCAGTGATCGCCATGCTTCTACTGGCCTTTCCTCATTTCCTGGTCATCCTCATGCCGATCGCCGCCTCTCTGGAGTACGCTTTCAATATCGATGTTGACAGCACGGCGAAGCGCGATCTCATCAAGAGAATCATCGCTCGCACCTTCCTGGTTGGAATCGCCCTGGTCATTGCAATTGTTGTCCCCAGTGTTGACAAGCTCATTAATCTCATGGGTGTGTTTACCATGATAGCTATGGCTGGAGTCCTCCCTGCCTTGTTCTATACTAGAATACGTGTATTCAACGAGGGATCATTGAAGGCTATTTGGAAAGCAAGTCGACTCGAGATGAGCCTTCTCGGTGCCCTCACTCTCCTCTGTCTGTTAATAATGGGAGCTGGCGGCTACCAATCGATTGTTGATTTCTAATCATCGATCGTTTTTGTCGCAGAATCGGCTCCCGTTGTATTAAGAAACGGGACGTTCTGTGGTAGTTCCGTTTAAATGATATGAAGATGGTAACTCGCCGTGCTGGCGACTAGAGCGGAGTATATCATCACTCCTTCTCTCGTCTTCGTTCACTTCTGGATGATGCTTAGACTAACTGTTTATACTAACACTACTCAGGTTTCAGTGTCTCTTATCAAGTAGCGTCAGAATATGACGATGCCGTGCGGGCACCATCTATGTTCCTTTCGACAATTGATAGTTGGGGTATCGTTTCCAAAGTCAAACTTCCTAT